ATATGGGGAGGATTAAGGTCAAGATGGGAGTGGGTTGGATGGACGGCCGATATTGATCCCTTTAATCATAAAACGTGTATTGAACATTTAAATTTATTAATGATGTCAGAATTTGGATATCTTGAGCTTGTTGGAATTGTCTCATGCAGCCGCTCTATTTGACTATAAGCATGTCACATTTGGAGTTTGTTTCATAATGCAAATTATGCATTGAACCCTCCAAATTGTTTTGGACCCTTGATTTCAGCTCATTTAGGCTCGGATTTGATCGATTTTAGTGTCGTTGGGTTCGTCACGTTCAGTTTGACTATAAGCTTGCTGAAATCGAAGTTTGGATGATCTCATATTTAATTTTTGAAGCTTTCAATTCAATTGTCTCGAGATTCATGCCTGAATAAGATAAATTTTTTGATGATATATCAAGTTGTTAACTGTTTAATTGACCTTCAAACTTTCAAAAGAAAAAAAGAATAATAATACTAAACTTGGTTATTAAAGAGATTATGATTTTTTTTAGTGCTTTGTTTTTTAGATCACAATCATAATTTTTATTTAATCATTGTTTTTTTTTTCAATTTTGTTCAAGGAAGCTACTTTCTTTAGCATCTTTAAAAAATTATTTTCTCTATACAAATGTTACAATGGACATTATAAAGAACTATAGCCTTCAAAATATACCTTATATATGATAAATTTTGTTAGTATGATACTATGAACCTATCAAAATTTTCTTAAAACAATGAGTAAGATGATATATACATTATATAGATTCTATATTTGCACGCAACATTACTTTCTCAAGGGATTGGGCGGCCAAGATGGAGTTTGGCTTGCGCAATGCCAGAATGGCCGATAGGTGTGAATTCGACCATATCGCGTGCGGATGTATTTTTCGCATAATGAATATTTGCCTCACCCCACTGACTCCCTCACTTGATTGTTTGGCCAGGAAGAAATAAAAAAAAGAGAAAGAAGAGAGAGGAGTGAGAAATATTTTTGGATCATATTTATTAGTCATTCTTATTACATATTTTATTATATTCGTTGTAAGTAACTAATCTCTTACTTTTGTTTTCAATAATTTTGATTTATACAAATTTTATCTATTCTAAATATGCCAAAAATGTATTATCCCTTGATTTCATAAGTTATCACTGTGTAAGTTTGAATATATTATAAATTTGATCATTCTAAACTATTGAATATGATTTTATTATATTTTAAATGAAGTGTTGAATGATATCATATACATGATATAACTCCATGTACCCTATTGATCCATACGATTCACTGATTGGGAGTCTTAAGGAGCTGCAGATTGATTGGGAGTTATAAGGAGTTGAGGCGACTGATTTACATGATTCAAGGGGAGTTATAAGGAGAACATTAATTGGGAGTTATAAGGGGCGACTGACTGGGATTCATACGTGCATGAGCAAGATACTCTTAAAATACACTAATTGAATATTTGAATATTGATGCCAACACTGTTATGAACACTGTATTGATATTGTGACTGACACTAATACTATTTTTTGTCATTAATATTATTTAATATTATTGATCATGATATCAATATTATTATTACATTAGTATTATTGATTGTTACTAATATTATAATTGATGATGTAATGTATTGATATGCGGTGAATTATAGAAGGATAAATTGATACGGATAATTAGTATATATATTGATGCATATATTTCTTTATATGATTTATAACATGTTGTTCTCTTTTATATTTTATTAATTTCAGTTATAAGATTTTAATTACTTACTGGGCTATGTGCTCATTAAGTGGTTTTACATATTTTCAAGAAAGGATAAATATCCTATGATACGAGGCTCCGAACAAGACAAAAATGTAATCCTTTTTTTGTTGTTTATTAGTAAGCCCTAATTAAATGATTAAAATGAAAGACGTATATAATTCTTTCAATATAGATCTTGGAGTGTGACACCAACACTCAATATTGTCATATACTGCTCATACAATCTGGCCTCCCTACCACTAAACAACTCTCCCACATCCTTCATCACCATCCAATGGCCACTCGCTCCCAAATAGGTCACTTAAAATCCAAAGTTCTCAGGAACTTACTCCACCATACCTCTTTACCTCATGATCCCACATCCTTCATCGAAGCCAACAAACATCTCCATTGGTGTAAAGGAATATCAGATGAATTACTAGCTCTTCAACTACAAACTATGTGGCAACTCGTACCTCCTCCTACCAACCACACCATATTGGGATGTTGATGGGCATATCATACCAATTTTCATATAAACCATACTATAGCTCGGTATTAAGCCTGACTTGTTGCCCAAGAACACCGTCAAGAATACGAGCTAGATTATTCGATACTTTTAGTCCCGTTGCCAAATTCCCATCAATTTGCATGCTTCTTATAATAACCCTTAATAAACAATGGCACATCCAACAAATAGATGTAGCCAATGCCTTCCTACATGGATCTTTAAACAAAATCGTATATATGGAACAACCTCGTGGCTTTCACGATACTCAATTCCCCAGTTATGTTTGTCTTCTTCAAAAATCAATTTAAGGACTTGCTTATGTTCTCTCATTCAACATTTGCATAATGAGCTTTGAAGCTCAATTAAAAATTCAATGATTATAGTGTTAAATAGCTATTTCATAGGATCAATGTTAGAACTTCACTTAGTATAAGCATCTAACATGATGAACTATGGATGTATATATTTAGATGTATGCCCACAATATAAGATATCCTTTTATGATATGCTAATCTAGCCAAACAAAATGGTTGGATTTAATTTGAATTCAATCATTTGTCAAGTGAAACCTAATTGTCATAGATAAGTTATGATTGGATTAGTTTAATTAAGAGTTGTTTAGTTTATTGATATCTATAATATAATATCATGTTATTAAAATATGTCATACAATTGTGTCATTATTATTTTAAATAATAATTTTATACATATCATTTATATCTTATTTTGATGATATTTAAATGTTGGTCCAATTTGTCAAAATCAATATTGCATACTATCTAATAGTAAAAAAAAAAAGGAACTTAAAAAAAAATCAAAATCATTGTTAATTTTCTAATAGAAATATTTTGAATTGTAAATTAAAAAAAAACGATTAAAGTTATTCTTTTAACAAAAATGATATGTATTTTTTTATTGACATCCATGCATCGGCACCTCCATGATAGTAAAGCCATCATTTTATTTTATTTTATTTTTTCACATGAACATGAAAGATTTATTACTCTTTGGTTTCATTTGACACAATTTTTTTACTGATTTTTAATACAAAATATATTGAATTAAAAAATTTTGCACTAAAAAATTGTTTTAAAAAATAGTAAGAAAGCTGTCTCAAACAAATCCTTAATTATATCAAGCATGATACATTATACATCTTATTTTGATCATATTGCCCACTTTGATGTTCTAAAAGAGAGTTAATTTAAAACCATTTTGCTATAATTTCTTTTAAAAGTTACTTCTCTTATGAGTGCTTTCACATAAACATACCTAACAAATCCCCAATATAGTTATGGTTATGTTCAGAGCTTTCTTTCTCAGTTATTATGTTGGCGATCACAAATCAGTAAAAAAAAAAAGAGAGAGAAGCGTCAAACAATCTTAAGAGTTCTATTTTGCATTTATAAGCATCAATAAAATAATTAAATACATTCACTGCAAAGAACACAGATAAAGCATATTGAAATATATCATAAAATCAGTGAATCCCCTTTAAATCATACCCAAAGAAACGAAAATGGAGCCATGCATTCACAAGACAAATGAGGAATTTAATGAGATGAATGAATTAGTAATGTCGGTGGCGATGAAGAAGGCTTGTTGATCTTCTTGGCAAGCTTTTGAACCTTTTTCCATCCCTTCTTGCAGGTGGAACCGACAACCTTTGCCCCCTGCTGCACAAGACGTTTCAGCTCCTTCCCCCTCTTCTTCAGCTGCAGCTTCTTCTCCAACTCCACGATCTTCTCCCCCATCTCACCTATCTCTCAGACAAAGACAGAGAGAGAGAGAGAAAGTAGCAACAGCTGCGAGAAAAAAAGAAAGGGCTTGTATGGCTACGGCCTCTGATGGCCTGATTTATAGCAAGAAAATGAGAGGAGGGGATTGATTTCTCTGGGTTTTAGTTGTTTTTTTTGCTTTGTTTAGAAAACATCTTCGCTTTCGGTGGATACGCGTAGACAGATATGAAATAATGAAAATCGTATTCTTCATAAGACCTAAATATGAGAAAGAGAGAGGGAGAGATAAGAAAGAAGATCGTTGTGTTGGATTGCAACAAGAATAGGGTGGAATGGTTACAGCCGTGCATGGTTATGACTTCGTCAATGGCTTCTCGTGCAGTTTTGAACTCTAACGGTCGGATTCTATTGCTTGAACTCTGACAATTACAGCAAAAATAACTAGCACTTGCAACAGTTGCCATAATGGGGTTGATTCTTAAGCTGTAATCCATCCGGTTCCGCTAGGTGACAAGTTTTTTGGCGATTCTCTCTCTCTCTCTATCTCTCTCTAATAAATTTTCAAAATTAAATTCCGAGCCATCCGAATTATGATTGTTGACCTCGATTTTCGCTCGAATCCCCTTGAACACCTTCGATCGATTTAATTGAGCCTCGTCGAGTTTAATTTGGGCTTGAATTGACTCGACTCGAGCCGGATTAGACCCGACTACGTTCAATTAGACTCGATCAATTTTATTTTGGTCGCGCCGTCGATTTGATTTAAGTTCGCGATTATCCCAAATCTAATTTCGTACGATTAATTTTATTGTGCCGACTCGAGCCCGAATCGACTCGAATCGAGTCAAATTTGAACTCGAATCTAACCCGATTTTAACCAATTTGATTTGACTCAGCCTAATTCAATTTCGCTAGAATCTATTTAACTTTTTTAAATGATTTGAATCTATTGCCTAGATCAGGAAATCTGATCGAGCGGCTCCAATCAAACGTTTTATCGGCCCGAAGCCGTTGCCTGATACTCGCGATCCTCCACAGTCGGGGCAGAGATATGGAGCAGAAATGAGCTATTTACGCGATGTTCGAAAGCTGGAGCAGGAGAACGCGACTTGGCGGGTTATTCTTTCGGCAACGAGCTCGATTTACTCAGGACGAAGCTTCGAGCTGGGGCATTGACGCCTACTCTCCTCTCTCGAACCCGAGCTCCCTCTCCCTCTCATTCTCTCAGTATTTTTGGAAGTGAAGAGCCCGGACTCGGTTCCGCCTCCTTCCAGATCGCAAAAGAGGAAGCTCCTGATCCCGACTCTTCCCCTTTCTCCCTCTCGTTCGGAAGAAGCTCCTGATCCCGTTCCTCCCCCTCTCATCTTCGCACGCCTCGCCCGATCCAGACGGCAGCCCCCCGCACTCGGCCAGCCCTAGACCGATCCCGACGCCAGCCTTACCGATCCCGACGCCAGCTCTAGCAATCCCGACGTCGTTCTCTCCAAAACCGAACTCCTCACTGTGAGTACCCTTCCTCTTCCTCTTCTTCTTCTTCTTCTCCCTACCTCTTCTCCTCTACCATTTCTTCCCCTTTCTTCTCCTCACCCAACTAATCCCTCTTCATCAATACGAAATGGAAATGATTTGATTTATGCTAGAAATGGTTTGGCAAAGCCATTTCCTATCATCTCTTGTTGCTTAGGTTCATTGTATGCATTTGGATATCAAGTGATGCTTTAAATTCTTTTTTGAAATGTGATCATGGTTACTGCTAACTATGAATGATTTCGTAAGGTGTAGACAATGTGGGTTGATATGTGTTGTTTTGATAGTAAATAATTAATGCAAATCTTGTCATTTAGTTTGAAGCATTTAGGTGTGAGCCATTGTTCTTATGATAGCTTGTTTTACATAGATCTACAAGGTTGCACATCAAATGTTTGATGGAATGCTCCCAAGAGAAAGCCATAGGTGTTTTCTTGCATTGAGGCCTTCTATATTGAGCTTAATCATTTGGAAGGTTCCTCAAAGCGTTTTTTAGAAACTTATCAACAAAAAGAAAATCTAAAAATGAGTTTAGTTATTTAGTGAGATATGTGTAAAACCATATATCTTTCTTCCATAAGCGCTTCTTCTTTAAAGTTTAAACTCAATGCTTGTAGGTGGATATCGTGTATTTTGAAAGCTTGGCAAGTGTATATTCCATCATCCCCTTTAGAATTTGAGAGGGGTTATTTAAAGTGATTGCTTCATGCGCAAAGTGCTTTCATTCGTATATTTGCTTTAGCCCTTACATAAGTGACATTTGCGCTATACCGGTGGAATGTGAGCCTTCATGGGTTTGAAAGAAATAAGTTGCTTTTGTCCACTTTATTTTAGTCGTTTTGCTCAATACATGCATTAGGTTGAATCATGTATACATGAGCATATGTCAATGAAACCATGTGGGTAGTTGGGTTAAGGACAAGTTATATTTGCATAAGTTTGCTTTGGCTAAAGTTTTTTTTTTTTTTACATGGAAGTTTTATGTGGCACATGTCTTTATATTCATAGTTATCTTGCCGTTAATGAACATATTTCCTTTTTTATGATTGGGTTCTATGAAGTCTAGAATAATCAGATTGCAAGTAAGGTTGGTTTTCTTCGGCGCAATGTGTTAGTTTCATAAATTATTCCAAGGTCGAAGTTACATATATTCTTGAGGGGAAATTTGGTGAATTAGCTTCCATACATTTCGAACCTTAATGCTCATGCCTGTGTCTTATTGCTCATCTAATGCTTCTTGTTGAGGTTATGTCTCTTGTTTGGAGATTTGTTTTTTTTGGAAGGTATGCAAATGAACATGTTAATCCATGATTATTTGAAAGGTTTTTTGAGATCGTGCGAAGGATGTCTTAGTTGTTATCGAAGTATGCATATGAGATATTTGTTTTGTTGCACCATTGAGAAATTGCATAAGCCTTGATAAAAACAAAAATCTAATGTTTATAAGTGCCTTGAACCTCCATAGCTTTATTGGTTGTAAAGCTTCATACAAAGTAATAAACATGAGAAATCCTATGATATTTGGGTGGAGCTTTCATTGTTCACTTGTCAAATTTCCTACAGTTTTTGTGAAACTTTTCTTACTGGTTTTGTGAAAGAAAAGAGCAATTTTTTGAGAGTTTTATCACTGTTTTTACATAAGAATTCCTATGGCATTTAGGTGGATCATTCCTTGCTTCTTTATGAAAATCACTACAGTTTTTGTGAAACTTTTCTCACTGTTTTGGTAAGGGACGAGTGCAGATTTTTGGGGGTTTTTTTTTTGCTTCCAAAATTGTGTTGGGAGCGAGGTATGTGCAGATTTTTGCTATTTCGAGGTCCCAAACTATTTTGGTAACATAATACATGCAGTTTTTTATTGTTTTTGAGTTTCTAAATTGATTTGGGAAGGAAATACATGTAGTTTTTACTGTTTTGAGCTTCCGAATTACTTTAAGAGTAAGTTATGTGCAGATTTCTCGTTGTTTTGCTCTCTAAGTTATTTTGAAATGAGTATTGGCATTGATATTGAATGGTGTATAGTCGTTTCCCTTCATTGGCATCTTGATCAACAAGTGTTTAGATAGGCTACGAATGATGTTAATTCTATCACAATGCATCGGTTTCATGAGCATGTGGGTAGTTAAAATTATGTGGTATATTGAATGTTTAGAGAAGGTTGAGAACCTATTACATGAAAGATATTTGCATATGGGAGAAAATTTGGAACATTTGCATCTTTTCTATTTAGTTTTTATTTCATTTGTCAGTATCGCTATGATGACTTGATTGAAGAGCTTTGATAAAGACTCGTTTTGTATCAAAATTATCTTGGAAGTATTTAAGATGCTAAAGGTTATATGTGATGAGTTGAATAAGTTATTGGAAATGACCCTTACTATGAATGTTCCTTTTATGCTAATTATACAAGCTTGTTGGGAATGTTGCATATTTGTGTCGATTTATTATTATGAGATTTATCTAATGCGGGTCGAAGAGATGATGAGCAACAAGTTTTATAATGTCTTATAGTTTCTCCCATGCATGGTTAGAAAAGAATATTTTGATTAGAAAATCTCATATATTTGTGTTGGCATTTATACAACTTCATCCACACTTAAACTTGTTAGCATCATCATAAAGATTTGTTAATGAATCTCCATGTGTTTCAATGATTTATTTGTGAGTTTCACTTGATGTGGGAATGCTTTACAAGCATTGTTGAAAGCTCTACGAAAAGTCTTGCAAATCGTTTTGTGTTATGAAAATTTTGTGGAACGCTTTATGATTGTTTTATAATGAAATGTTTTGCGAAGTTTTCTTTTAAAGGTCTTTTTTTGATTTCAATACCCCACTCCAAATGAAGGAAAAAGCACTTAATTGTTGGTCTTTTTGTAGAATTTTGGGTCACAAATAAAAGAAGAGATTTTGATAAATGATTTGTGTAGAATTTCGTGTAGCTTTTCATTCAAACAAAATAAAAAAATTTCATAAGTTAGATTTGGGTTTAACAACTTATGTAGAATAGATTTGTGTTGGAGAGTTCTCTTAATCTCTCTTTTTGGAATGGAGTAATCTACCTTACGTAGGTTGTCTATCTTTTATTAATGCTTGTCCTTTAAAATATAAGTTTGGAAGAATGTGATGGGTAGAAAGAGGTGTTGTTTTAGATCTAGTTTGTTTCCTTTTTAGAACTTGAGCTTCCCTTGTTTGCTTTGAGTTTGGTAGGGAATATGTTGAGTAGTCGAGTTGGGTTTGTATCAAGTGTTTTATTTGGGCTGTGGGGACAGCAAAGGGCATTGTTAATGTTGCTTTAGGGTACACTTGACTTCAAAGAAGTGTGTTCAAAACAATAATGCCTACATCCCTTTTATATACGATTTTCATTCTTCTTCTTTTTTGTTGCTTCTAGTCGTCTTTCGCTTTGCCCTTTAGCTTTTCTGTCACTTCTTTCATGCTTTATGTTTTAGACACTTGCAAAATGAGGAGAATCTAAATCACAAACGACTTGACCGGTATACAAAAGGTACGTTCTTTTTTAATTGCATTTTCATTTCCTTGTATAATTATTTGCTTATAGAATTGCTCTAATACACCTCTCTTTTGTGTCTTGCGAGGTGAACTTTGAAAATCAATGGATAAGGAGCGTTGGAGCACTTCGAGAGGGAGCTAGGACAACCGGATCCGAGCATTAGTTGCCCCTATTCATTCCGGTAGGGGCGCTACGGGCGGAACCACCGGGTCACAGCCCCCGGTGCTATAAGCTTTCTTAAAAACTTAGAAAACCTTTAGGGGCCTAGATGATTGCACGCCTCTCACCCTTAGGGCATTGTAGAAACTTTATTTATAATTAGGATTGCTTTTACTTTTTTTAGATCTCTAAAACCTTTTGACATACGTATAGAAATCTTAAGGGTTAGAAAACAACACCACTCTTAGCCCTACAATATTAGTGACATCTAAGGACAAAAATTAAGGACCGAGTCTTAGAAAATATAGATTTATGATGCATGCTTCCTATAGGATAAAGACATTAAAAAAAAAACTTAGTGACACGTTTTCCTAGATTTTGGTTTTCTTTAATCTACTAATAATCAACCAACCAATCCTAATCTAATTCTAAAAATCTATTAAAACACTTAATTCTTAATCAAGTTATTATTAACATTTATAATTATTAAACTACAAGTCTAAAATGTAAACCTAAATCAAGTTTGACTAATCTAATAATTAATCCCTAACCAATCTAAAGTCTAAAATATGTAGATTTAATTAGGAGATCAAATCATAATATTAAAATTCATTAGGATAAAAGACTCATAAATATCAAACTTTAGAATAATATCTAAAAAAAATAACCAACAAACTTAATTAATAAAATCTTTAATGCACCATTTTCTTTTCTTTTCATAACAAACTAAATTAATCCAACAAAGTTAATTATCACTGGATAACCCAGGCCTACGAGGCTATTAAGTTAGCCCCAAGGAGGGTGAAATAAACCTCACGGCCTCGGTGTGAAACAAAGGTGATATATAATCAAATACTAAAAATAAAATTCTAAAATCAATCTTAAAATACTAAGATTTGAACTTTAACCAAAATCTCCTTTGCCCTTTCAACAAACAAAAATGCAAGCAACTTTAATTAAATTATCCTATATAAGACCTACCAAAACCACACAGACTACACATACTTAGATTGATTTGCTAGGACACGACTACTAGCTTTAGGATAGGTTGATGTTCTATCTTTCTTTTATGTGCTGTGTTGTGACGCTCCGCATGTGACCCGTGTGCTATTTATTTTTGCTACTCGATTTAGCTTTTCTATGACGCTTTTTCTGTGATGTGTTTTCTAGCTTTCTTTCTGCACTGTTGTTGTGAGCGTTAGAATACCCATAGGTTAGGCACGCTTTTTATACTAATATTGTCTTCTTGCAGGTGGCCGTGCTCACACAGCGCTAAAGGGGGCTAAAATTAATAATAATTATTCATAACTGCTTTAGGTAACTGCTTCAGCTGCTTAGCCCCTAATGATTATAGCATGGCCAAGTGTGATTTATTTTTCAGCATTTTCACTTATATATAAATGCTTGGACGATTTTTGATTTTGATTATAACTGCTCAGGATAATCCCTGCAGGAGAGTTTAGATTTTCCCTTTCTATTGATGTAATGTATTTGATAGTAAATATTGTGAAAATCGTTAAAATAAGACATTTTAGATGTAAAGGGGTCCAAAGGGAAAAGAAAACCCTTACAGGGGGTTTTCTTTTTCATTTGAGCATCCTTTTGGAGCATTCATTACGAGAAGCTAGAAGGGAGAACGAAGATGATCCATAGACGAATCAAGGAAGTGAAGAAGAATACTGAAGATGTAAAATGTCTTATTTAAGATTTGCGTCGTTCCCGGGTTGTTGTCAGTGGAGCCCGGCCACCACTACTTTTTTTGTACTCTGTGATATAATATTGTATGACACTTGCCATGGATACTCTTTTTCGTGAATTTTTTATTGTTTTGTTGATTGTTTGTTTACTTTGATTGCGTAGTAGAACCAACATGCTTTTCAAAGGTTTTTTTGTTGCATGTGCTTGTGCCTAACTCGCTAGGCTCTTTTAGGATAAAAATTCTTCTACTCGTAATTAATAATAAAAATTTAAGATTAACTCACATAGAAATATAACGATTCTAGGTAATAGTCTTATCGTCCGGGGTCGCATACATGCATTCTCTCTTCCTTTAGACAATTTTCTCACATGCGGGTAGAGTCCGGATAATCTGGCCTATGAGGATGAAGTGCCGGACCTGGGGAAGTTTAGTTATTATAAAAAACTATTTTATAAGCTTTTTTAAAATTTCATACATTCCTGATTTGAAGACTTTGACTAGCATAAATTGCATTAGCAACTAATTAAAATTAAAATTTAATTGCATTAAGCCATTAGTTTTAGTAACTCAGATTTAATTTTTCAAAATTAAAATTGATATCTTTTAAAACTTCAATTAATTATCTTTGGGAAATTCAATATTCCCAAAAATAATTAAATATTTTCCAAAATTATATATACTTAAATGATATATTTTTTTAATCAAAACATTTAGGTGCATAATACCATTCATAAGTGTGGGATCATTTAGAAACTTCTTTAGTTGTTGATCCCAAATTTCAATGTCTAAACTACCCACCCATCTCTCATATGGACCGTATATCATAAATTTTATACGATTAGGTGGTTTTAACTGGCTTCCTTTTTCAGGCAAGGAATAAGTCCAGGAATGCATTAATTAGGTCGTAGATGCTAGTGTTGTGTGTACGACACTATATCTTTTATAGATTTAGGGTCTAAAGGCGAGTGGTACGAGTGTATCACTATACGCCTTATTGGTGGGTAAGCTCGCCATTCTTTCGGAAGCTATAAATCCTACCCATCTGTGTCACAAAGATGACGCCACCTCCTTCTTTCTCTCACGATTGCTTGAGATGCTGTGTATCTTCTTTTTCTTCAGTTTCCACTTCTTCGAGCCGACCAGATGATAACTGAATCACGTGTGATTGATTAAAGCCAAATTGGGCCTATCTTCCCCTTTGATTAGGAAAGCCTGGAAACTCCCTTGCACTAAACCTACATTTTGAGAGGATAATCTAACATCCATAATCGAGAGTTTTCTTAGACCGATGTCTAAGATGTAATTAACTACAGGGCTTGCGCCCGTAGGAAATCGATTCCCACAATCAAATAAACCCCATTCGAGCTGATGTATCGAATGGGGGAAATCTCGTGAACTTTTAGGTTATATATATTATTATCCATCGAGGTTGGTAGGTTAAAGCCGCTATCATTCATGGCTAATCGTATGTATAACTACATCTACTCTTCCATCGGCCTGCTTGTGTCGGATGTAAAGGTTTACGACCATTTTGTCATACGGGATAATGTGATCGTACTCTTTGCATTTGAACCACATGAGCAGAATCCTTTCGGAGACCCACGATGATTTCCGCAAATTTATAGTCAAACTGAATGTCTCGAAAAGACGAACCCAACGACATGAAAATCAACTTAATCAGAGCCCAAATGAGTCGAAATTAAAGACCTGAAGCACTTTTAAAAGGTTTAAATCATAAAGTGGACAACTAAATGATTTTCAAATGTGACATGTTAATAATTGAATCAAGCGACTTGATGAGATGAATCTAACATGCTCAAGATCTTCAAATTCCAATATCATTAAAACACTTAAATACTCGATAAACGGTCCATGATAAAGGGAATCTACATTAGCCGTCCATCCAAATCACTCACATAACATGCCCTTGATTTTCTTTCTATTTATTAGTCATATAACTCTTAAAAAATTATAAATATAATGAATGAAAATTAATAAGAGATGAGAGCAAGAGAATTTTGAGATCTCACTTGCCACCAAGCTCCTCCTCAACTACCGCCCGACCACCAATCATCGCTGGACTTTCGCCGGACTTATGCACGACCATTAATAGTCGTTGGACTTATGCTCGACCATCGATTTTGTCGAACTTCGGCCCTTTCGACTACAATCTTTCTAACTAATGTCGCCCGCCAACTATGATCCATCCGACCACCGTCACCTAACTACGGTCCAATCCGACCTCCGTTGCCTACCGACTACGATCCCCTCTACCATTACCTGTAGACTATGGTCCAATTTGACAATCGTTGCTCACCGATTATAGTCTTTCCGACCTCCGTCCATCAACTATGGTCCTTTCGACCATAGTAGCCCTACTACGGTTTTTCTTGCCTCCGTCGTCTAACTAAGATCATTCTGACCACCATTGCTAGACTACGGTTCTTCCAACCAATGTCGCTCGCCGACTATGGTCATGCCAACCAAACGAACATGTCAACATTGATTCTTTCAACTCCCATAATGTAATGCACTTTACATAAATGTATATTGGCTACATCAAGCCAAGACCTTCCCTGACATAGACAAAATCTCAGGAGACATCCGATAAAATTGGAACAATACATAGAAGATTAGCATGACCCCTGCGCAAGGATGACACGCGTAAATAGATGTGCCTTTTGGTGTAATGGTTGAAATTTTATTAAGAAACTCCATAGTTAAGCATGGTCATCCTGTAATAATTCTTAGATGGGTGACGTACTTGGATGTTACATCAATAAGATAAAACTGTGAGACTCTTAGGCCAAATCAAACAATATTTTGATTGTTAAGAGTTTGGGCTGTCACACCATATCGGGACAAAGCAAGGAGGAAGGAAGAAAGGGAAAGAATAGATGAGACAAAGAGAAATCTGATATTTCTCTTGCCACCCAGCTACTCCTTGACCATCGTCTGTCGTCAAAATTTTGCCCGGGCACCGATTGTTGTCGAACTTCCTCCTGGAAACCATCCGACATTGGATTTATTCTCAGTCATAGACTGTCTTTGGACTTATGTCCGACCACCAATTATCGTTGGATTTCCTTTTGACCACCTTCACTCGAATATAATCTTTTTGACATTAAGTTCTTCGCCTGCCGACTATAGTCTCTTCGACCATCATCACTCAATTATGGTCCTTCCGACCAACTTCACCCTACTAAGGTCTTTCTAACCTTCGTCACCCAAATATGATCTTTCTGACCATCATCGCTTGCAGATTACGATCCTTCTGATCTCCATCGCCAACAATGGTATTCCTGACCACCGTTGCCCGCCGACTACGGTCCTTCCAACAACCTTCACTAGACTATGATCTTTTTAACATTTGTCGCCTATCGATTATGGTCTCTTCAACTTTTGTTGCCCAACCATGGTCCTTCCGATCTCCTTCACCTACAATCATTTCAACCTCCACCACCCACTGACTACGATCTCTTCGACCTCCGTTTCCCGTTGACTACGATTTCTTTGACTACCATCTCTAGACTACTGTCTCCCTGACCATTTTGACTCGACCATAATCTTTTCAATCTCCGTTGCCCGACAACTATAGTCTTTCTGACCTCCGTTGCCATACTACGATCATTCCGACAATTATCGTTCGACTGCAGTCTTTTCGACCTCTGGAGCCGGCCAACTATGGTTCTTCTGACTACTGTTTCCTGACTATAATATTTCCAATCTCTTTTACCCGAATATGTCATTTCGACCTCCGTCACCTGTTTACAGTCCTTCTGACCTACATCATTCATCGACAATGATTCTGCCAACCAAACAAACATGTTAACAATGATCCTTCCAACTCCCACAATATAATATAGTATATATAATGTATATTGACTACATCAAGCCATGACCTTCCCCTTAAGGAAGGGCCTCATTTGTAATCAACTGCAAACACTAGTGCATTCATTCAAATTGAGCCAGGGCCTGTAATTTTTTTTCCCTTTTTAGGATTTTCCACGTAAAAAAAATGACGTCCCTTATGAATGCCACACCCATACTCTTTTATCTATATATATGTTGGATCTTTGTATAAAGCTAAGACACTATAAGACACTAAATTTTATATTTTTCTATCGCCGTTAATATTCCAAGACGGAACAAGTATGTTTGTAGCAATATTAAATTTACTCTAGGTATGATTGCTCATTTTCAAGCGTATGACTTCTATTTTCTAGTGCTCTAATATATTAAAGGTTCCCATTATTCAAATGATAAATATTATATGTTAAAATATTGAATAATATGTTGTCGTTTCATTTCAATAGTACACTCCACATCATATCAAACAACACAAAAAATATTTAAAATATATTGTTTCTTTTATTTTACACTGCACTTCATATTAAAAAAAAAAAATCTTCTGCATTTAATTTTTAGACAAATAAATAACTTCAAAATATTTTAAATATATTATTTTTTAGGCAATCAAATAACCCCTTAATTAAAATAAAAAGGTAAAAAAAAAAAAAATCTCCGCTTCTAAACTTTCACCCTTCAATAAGCAGGCTCGTTATTAAATAACTTCTAAATTTTTATTTTTTGTTTGACTTCCGCAAATCTAGGCTCGATGCCTTCTTCGTTATCTCTCCGTTTCGTTTTCGCATCTCTAATTTCTCGTATGCTTCGGCTCTCCACGGGGCTAGGAAGGAGGTGGAAAAGAGTACTTCGATTCGACGAAAACCTAGGACCTAAATAGGAGCAATGTTTCCCAAGGACTGGACTCAACCTTGTGGGAACTGCTGCACTAAGAAATACGCCGGCGTTTTTCTGATTCCGTGTCCGTTACTCTCCCCGGCCTCATTCCTTTTCCTTTGATTTGAGTTTAGCTCCTTATAAACCCCGCAAAAAAAATCTTTAATTTAAATTGTTTCGAATCTATTAAGCTTCTTGTAGATTCATTAGATTTTCGTGTTATTTTTTGAATGACACTGGAGTTCAAATTTGTTTGAAGATGCAAGATTGAAAATTTTAAAGAGAGAGGAAGGAAAGCGCAACTATAGATTCAGTTTGATGCGTTTCTTTCTTCCACTGAACTTTTCATCCAATTGTTTTTCTGCACCTCTGCTGACAATTTTATGAATCAAACTGAAAATTTGAACTTGCCTTTGATTCTAACATGAGATTTCTATTTTCTCTTATCTTAATCACGCTTTGTGCTTTTAAATGCTTAAATTAATCTTCAGTAGGCCATTGTAGGGAGAATCTTCTGTAAGAAGGGATGCAGTGCAGATGGGGATACTTGGGCTGAATGTAAGGATCTTTCTTCGGTGTTGTAATACTTTTTTCTCCCAACTAGATGCTATCTGCGTCTTTATGATCCCTGTAAATAACTGAATTTCAGTGAGTTACTGTTTCTTAAAATTTCATTACTGTTTATGTCAGTTATTACGTCTTTCTTTTTTTAAAAAATAGCAAATAAAATATCAAAACAGATATGGGACTTCTAATCCTGTATGACGTCTTTGCACAATAGGGTTCATCATCTATGTCAGGGCATCCTGTGGTCCAAGTGGGTTTTTTAATTAATTGAAGCACCACCAAGTTTTGATAAGAGGAGATGGTGCTTTTGTTTTTGTGTATATTCTCCAGTACATGGATTTACATTTTATGTATGCTAGATGTCATCTCCATGACTTAAGTTGACCGCGGTAAGGTCTCTTTTAGCCTTTCCACTAGAAGTGCTGTCTTTTGATAGTCATAGGATAGGGATCAAAGACCTATGTGCAGTTTAAGCTCTCCCATTTCGCTCTCTCGCCATTGTGTGGACTAGACCTTAGGTTGTGGATGGTTCTTGCCAGCATAGGTGATAAGGAATTGGAAATTGGGAATTTTCTCACATGAAATTCTACTAAGAACGCATGTTTACTATTCAGTTTTCACATAATTAAGCAAAGTCTCACCTAAAAATTTGTTTGCCGCCTTGACCATTCATATTCTCCTATATTTGGTTGTAGGTGTTGAAGCATGCAATGAGTTATGCTACAAGGATCCAGTTCTAAAGGATCGTCAATGGACTTCTTTTATTGATAGATCTCCTGGGGATGACAATTATTCTTTGGTTTGTTTAACCATATCTTTTATGGGGGTTTAACCATTAATTTACTCATGATTAACTTGCTATCATTCAAGTCACCAGAGTTTTTGAAAATTGTTCTTGAGTGAAAAATTTTTTATGCTGATGCTTTAGAACATCTGCACTGTCAAATTCATTATTATTAGCTTTGTCCCAACTACTTATAGTTGGTAAAACATCTAAATGAAGTAACCACAACTTTGACTTTTTCAGTTATATAACTATAGCATTCCAATGTCAATATATGTTTCTATTTTGGACAATTATTCTCCAAAATGTGCATTTTGGAGAATATCAACTCAATGTGGAGTAAATAAAGTTTCTCAAACATCGGCTTGCCTGATTTGAAAGTTTATGATAATATGCCCTATTGATAAGCTCTATCTTGTGAACTAGGTCTTTGGTTACTATATTGCGTACTTCTTTGAAACATCAAATATAATAACTATGTTATTAAAGCTCACATTAATTTTAGCTAGTTTTATTATGTAGAATGTTTAAAACCTCTTTGCAAGGTGAACTCCACATTTGTATAAGGTATCAAACTATGGATGAGGGAGGAAAATTATTTGCCTTTTGGACCATGCAAAAATAACTTTGGCCATCAATTTCTTAGATTTATCCTATTCTTTCAATTGATCATTATAATCATATGAAATGAATTGAGTGTCTTCTTAAATCTGTCATATTACCATATTGGCCAAATTAAAAGGTTTAAATATGTTTAATGCAAATTGCAAAATAGAGATATTAGACTTGAAGACAGTGAGGGGAATGCTTTGTGATCAGCGTGTACTTTGGTGACCGTGGCATAATTGAGAACGTTATGTGAAATATTATGACACCAACTATGCTAATGGATATGTGTATCGCTTCAAAAAGAATGTAAATAAGAACAAGTTAAAGTATTTTAGATGGATTTAGTATACACTTAAGAATGTTAATAGTGCAATATGATGATTATAGTCTTGGGAGACAATTACTAACAAGAACTAAGTCGTTATATAGGAAGTTGGAATGGTTTAAACATCAGATAATGAGGGAAGATGAAGCATTGGTATGTACTTAGCTAATCGGAAGGTCGAGGAAACTGAAAAAGGCGTAGGTAAATGCCAAGTAAGAATGGATTTAGCTAAATTGCAAGAGTGAATGATGAAAAAGGATTTATAAATCTATCACCACGGAGCTGAGATATGTTTGAGATGATTTTATCCTAGGTTTGCATTTGACATTTGACAATATTCAGATAATTAATGGATTCTAGAGAAAAGTGAAAAAAACAAACACCTAAAGTTTTCCCATTCATCTCTATCGACTTTTTCCAGCTATTTGATACACTATGAATAAACTAGTAAGGATGCTCTTCCTCAAATGCTGCTTTTTGCACTTTATTGCTATTTTATCGTGAAAATATTGAATATAATGTTCATTTTATTATACGTTAATTTATTGAGCTGTTTGCTTACCTCACATCAAGGACTAGGAGATTTCTCATTTCTAAATTTAATTTTTTGTCAAGAATATGTGATGCAATAAAAAATTTGGGAGAGGGCCCCAAATTTTGCCCAAATTTTTGATCACAAAAACAAACTCTTTCTATGATGATAGAAAGACATAAAATACTCAAAATTTGACAAAATATAACTAACAAAACAAAACACAACTTTAATATTATAAAAGAACTTACAAACAAGGACTCTTACAAACTTTGACGCTTACAAACGTTTGACAAATTTATGACTTCAAAACAAACACCTAAAAAAGCTTTCATCCATTAGAAGAAGGATACATGTGAGGTGGTACTTGCGGAGAGACGAAAGAGGTTAGAAGCCGAGAAGAAGGGTGGAAAGAACTCGCAAGTCTCCCCAAGAGATAGAAGATGAAGAAGTGGACAAAGCTCGCAAGCTTTTCCAAGAAGAAACCCGCAGGTTTACATCTCCAAAAATCATTCATATATCATCTCTTAAACAACCACAAAACATCTACTATTTATAGACATGAGAGGGGAATACAAACAACCACTAAAACTTAATTAAAAGCTAATTAAAATAGGAAGATAGAAAGGCCAAAAGTTACTCCAAAATAGCAGCTCAAAAGTCACCAAATAGCAGCCCAAAAACCACCAAACAGCAGCCAAAAGGTCCTTCAAACAGCAGCCCAAAAAGTCACCAAACAACAGCCCAAAAGTCCTTCAAACAGCAGCCCAAAAACCTTCAAGCAGCAGCCCAAAAACCTTCAAGCAGCAGCCCAACATTGCACAGGAAACAGGGCATCAATTCCACAGGAAAAGCCCCCCAGCTACTTCGGGAAAACAACCCAGACAGGGAACCAAGGAGTCAGCCGCAGGAAACTAAGAGCCAATCGTGGGAACCAAGGAGCCAAGGCACGGGAACCCAAGAGCCAACTACAGGAAACCAAGAGCCAATCGTGGGAACCAAGGAGCCAAGGCACAAGAACCCATCAGTCATCCACAGGAACCAAAGGGGGGAATAAACATCAATTTATGAGCTAAAAAGGCTCTCTACTAGACATTAATGAGCTGAATCTAGTAGAGGACCAGAAAACTCACCAAAATAAAATCTAACTTGTTTTGACCCCCTCCCCCCTGTCTACATCAATATGCATTATTTAGTTTGAATAATTTTGAACATTAAATGTTTGCTTCATTTTTTTCCCTCCCTTTAGGAGGGATAAAGATATATGTATAAGTTAGCCAAACAAAGATATAGGAGACGGATTTTGTTCAAGTGAAGTGTATTAAGGATGAAGATCAAAAAGTACTTTTCTTAGAAGATGATATTCAACAAAGGTGGATGAGGTATTTTGCTAAACTTTTTAATAAAAAATGTGAAAATACGATTGACTTTAGTGACTTTATCACCCTAAATGAAAATAAATATTTTTGTTTTTATCAACGTATAAGTAAAATCGAAGTTAGAGAGACTTTAAAGAAAATGAAGTGTGGAAAAGCTGTTGGACCTGATGATATTCCTATAGAGATGTGGAAATGCTTAGGAGATGAAGGAATTTCTTGGCTTACAAAAATTTTTAATACTATTTTGACGACTAAAAATATGACAGATCAGTGGAGAATGAGTGTGTTAATTCCTATTTTTAAGAATAAAGGTGATGCACATAATTTTTTTTCAAGGGGGGCAATTGCCCCCCCTAGGCGGTACTTGGTTCCGCCACTGCTAGAGAGGGAGTTGAAGGTAAACTCGAATTATGGAGGTTAACTTTAGAGTCTAAAGGTTTTCGCTTGAGTAGATCTAAAACTGAATATATGGAGTGTAATTTTGGTAGCAGTAGACCTAGTGATGGGATTGTGACTTTGGGGGATTAAGTCATTAATAAGAGTACACGTTTTAGATATCTTGGATCTATTGTTCAGAGTGATGGTGAAATTGATGGGGATATTATCAGTAGAATTCAAGGTGGATGATTGAAGTGGAGGAATGCATCGGGCTTATTGTGCGATAGAAAAGTCCCCCTTAAACTTAAGGGAAAATTCTATAAGATGGATGGTGAGACCTGCAATGCTTTATGGTGTCGAATGTTGTCCATTAAAAGAGAAGCATAATACTAAGTTAAGTGTTGCAGAGATGAGGATGCTTAGGTGGATGAATGGCTTGACCCTTAGAGATAGGATACGAAATGAGCATATACGTGAAAAGGTTGGAGTAGCTCCAGTGGAAGATAATATTAGAGAGAGTCGCCTTAGATGGTTTGGTCACATTAAACGGAGGCCTTCCGATGACCCGGTTAGGAAAGTTGAGGTGTTAGATTTGACTTATGTTAAGAAAGGTAGAGGTAGACCTAAAAAGACTTGGTTAGAAAATATTAGAAATGATCTTTCTTTATTAGATTTAAATGAGAATTTGACTTTTAACCGGACATACTGACGAAAAAAGGATTCATGTAGCCGACCTCACGTAGTGGGACAAAGGCTTGAAGGTGTTGTTGTTGTTGTTGTATGAGAATTTCCTCACTAACTGGTTGCATCATTAGACTCATATGATTTAGGCTTCAATTTGAATATCTTTCAAACTGAATGATTATTTTGTTGTCCACATCATATTATAGACTAGTTAGGGGCACAGTCGTCTTACCTAATGCTCGGTTTGGTCTAATTTCCTTAAGAAAATTCAAATAGTGATTGAAAAGCTCAATGATGAATATGAAATTCTGCAATTTTATCTCTCGTGATGGCAATTTTACTCATTAAGAGGTTCAAATTTTACGAACTTGTCACCGGTTTGCGTGTGTGATGCAAACTTTTATTATATGATATTTTTCCTTCTTCATTTTTGGTGTAATGTTGTCAATTAGAGATGAATAATTATTTAAGCCATTCAACTTATAATGTTCTCCCTAACAAGTAGCTATCTCATGTAATATGTATTATCTATCAATTGTTCAATTTGGTTATCCGACATTTTTTCTCTTTATCATTCTGGACAGTTGTACCTATTACGCATCTGCCTATATGGCTGTACTAGGAGATCTCTATGAAGGTTGTCATGATAAAGTTCTGCCTTTGCTTACATATGGGCACAATCAGTAAAATGGGTCTTGTATGTGGCCAAACTTTCATACTGAATAATCAATAGTTTTTTTATTGAATATGTTGTTTTTGGCCTGAAGAAACAGTTGCACAGTTTCTTGCAAAAAACATAAGGAACACATGCTCTTAATTTGAAGGAACACATGCTCCTAATTTGACATCTTCTTCTGCTGCCAATTTTTATGTGATATATCTTACACGTTTTGTGCTTGTTCTATTTTGGTTTCTTGCAACAAATTACTATATACATTTGAATTGTATACATAAGGCCTATTTATTGTGCTAGTGGTTGTGCAAAACCATCAAAACCATCAATTTTGGCTCCAAATTTCCAAAGTTGATGAGAAAAGGTTGAAGTTTGATGTTTAGAAAAACTGCACATCATGCAATTTATGTTCACATTCTTGAAGTGAATCCAAATTTAAATTTAATGAGTGCTAGAGTACTCAGAAATGAGGATCCATGCTTGACTTTGGTGAGAAATATGCCATGATGTATTTTGAGCTCACTCTTAACTAATGACCTTGATATTTATCTTATTATAGTGAAAAGTATGCAAGTTTAGCTAGAATGTTGTCTGTAAGTCTTGTACTACAATGTCTAATCGTTTGAGAAGTAGCAATGGTTGACTTGTTCTAAAATTAAGATAAATTTTTTTTATGTCATGTATGTGAACTTTGATTGGTAAGATGAGAAAATAATAGGAATTATGATTAAATGAAGAAGAATGATTTGTCTGTTAGAAATTAAATGTAAAGGAAAAAAAAGTAAATATCTTGGGCAATGTTTAAGATAATTTTATCTCCAAGATAAATGATATAAAGAAGATAGTGATGATAGTCGAGGGAGAGTTGAAATATGAAGTTATGGTATCGGGGTAGTAATAGGATGACTAATATTAAGTATAGTTATAAGTGAGGGCATTATTAATAATTTAATATACTCGGTCTTAATATTCTACAAGTTGGATTAGAATGTAGTGTGAAAATTCAATTTTGAGATAGGGTTAGTAATAGGATGACTAATATTAAGTTAGTTATAACTTATAAGTGAGGGCAATATTAATATAGTTATTCTTAATATTCTACAAGTTGGATTAGAACATAGTATGAAAATTCAATTTTGAGACCAGATGGTTGAAATATACAATGCATATCTAAAGCAAGGAGGATAATTAATACAAGGGACTTAAATGAAGATACAAGATTTAGTAGGATGAGCTATGAGAGCATTCATAGTTGGTAAATGGCACGAGATAAAATGTGATGGTAAAGCTATACTTAAAATTTGGTGTAGTGTACTATCCTATAAGAGGTAAAGTATACTTTACGAAATGAGGAAATCACTTAATTTTTTTCAAAGTTGGTGCCACCAAATCACGAATAAACTTTATTTTTTACTCAAAAAGCAAGTTAAAAGTTGTATGATAATTGCAAGAGGTAGTTTGGCTGCACAACGTCAAGTAGCAGTTTTGGATTTATATTGTACAGATATAGAGAAGATTGTTAAAATAAATAATGCCTATAATTACATGGTGGTATTTGAAAGGTGGGAAGTTTCTAATCTTTAAAGATAGCCCATTAAAAAAAATAAATTGGATTTCTTTTGTTGAGCTAAATTTGATTTGGGATAAAATAGTAGATCCATCAAGAAGATTTCAATGGAAGTTCAAGGAGAGATGATAAATATATTGTACATAAAAAGTTTTTGGGTGGAGTGAGGAAGCAAACAAGATTATTATTGAAAATAAATGTGCTTTTATAATGGCAAAAATAAAAGTTATATAGGTTTATAGTGATTAGAAGAAGGCAAGCTTGCAAAAAGGGCAAAGGGCAGTAAGCAAAGCAAATATTAAATCTTTTGATGTTTTTTATGATAAGCAAGGCACTAAAGAAGAAGACAAAAATGTATACAATAGCTTAGTCAAGAGAGAGCACAGAGCAGTGATCTAGAGCCTAAGTTAGATGTAGCAAAAGTAAAGATAATATGATAATAGATAAAGATGTAAATGCTATTTTTAGAAATTATTAAATGTAATTTTCATGAAAGAAATATGTGTTTAAGATGATAAACACATGATAAGATATTCTATAGAATGATTTAAAAAAGTGAACTATAGAAAAAGATCTAGAATATTAAATCTTTTCTAAATATGATACTTATTGCTGCTCGAGTTCTAGGTGACATTACAATGGTTGGTTTACACTAAAGAGAATTGATTTTGTGCTTATTCAGAAAAATGGTGTGTCAAAGATATATTGATGTTATTAAAGATATGTTTGATGTAGTATTGACTAATATTAAGCCAATTGTGGAGTAATCAAAGAGTTTCCCACTACAATAAAATTATATCAACATATAATTTGCATCCTTTTGTATTGTTTTAAAGATGCTTACAAATTCTATTCAAAATGAGGTATTTTAGTGTCAGCTCTCGTGGATAATATTATTCTAATTAGGAAGACAATTATTGAAATAAGTGCAAGTTTGAAAAATGTAAAAACTATTTAGAAGATAAATGGCTTATGACTAAAATAAGTTATATAAAGCTACAATTTGACATTCTTTTTAATGGATCTATATTTTTTATGATGACATAGTCACTAATGATCAAGTTATGTGCAATATAAATGTGAATGTTAAAAACATTGTATAACAAAATAGAGATATATGACTAAAAATGATTGTATTATAAAGATGTTGGAAGTAGTACATATTGAAAATATGGTAATGAAAAGTAAATTTAGGTGGTTTGAACCTTTACAATAGATAGTAGAAAATGCACTGCCAATGAGGAGAAGTAAAATTAATTTTGAAGGGTTAGGAATGAAATGGGTAAGTGCTAAGGTAACTTGGGTAGAAATTGGGTACAAAGATGTACGCTAGATAAGCTTAATACCTGAAGTAATAGAAAATAATGACAGTAAAGATACAACTTATTTTTAAAATAATAATGATTATATGAGAATGCATCATTTTTTTATATTATACTTCACTAGTAGAGGGAAGATTTGGAGAAATGATTTGGTTTGTCTTATTTGTGACTTGGAGGTCATGTGCTTGAATCATGAAATTAACCTTTTTGTAATGCAGGGTAAGCCTATGCACATCAATTCACTTGATGAAGGTCTTGTTGATGCATCACCTTGTTGCTCTTCTTCTTTTTTAAGTTTTCCTTTTGAATTGCTAGATTCTTGCTTGAGCTATCCGTTTAAAAGGGATGGATTTATTTAGGTTTGGAGCGAGAGGATAACAGTAATTATAAGTATTAGGAAAACCCACTATCTAGATCTAGCATTGAGAAGAGATTTCTATGCAATGAGTTTTTGTTGGGAATTCAGAAAATATAAGAAGGAATTTTGGGATTTATGATTCTCAAAAGTAGAGAGAAAACATCATACGTGAGAGGGGATAGAAGACAAATAAGAGAGAATAAAGGATAAGTGGACCCTTGAAGTCATAAGCTTTGAAAGTGATGCATAGGCCATTTCTTGTAACTTGTAAGTTTGATTTCCATAGAGTTGGTGATGGAAGAACTAGTTAATGACTATCTCTTAAAACGTTGACATGTGCAGTATAAATATACGCTTGAGATTCATTAATCTCCATGCATCATACAACATTTTAAGATTAGTGCCATGGTTTAGGGTCCCATTGTTGCATGTTGATGTTAACAAAGAACATGAATTCAGCTTGCATGCTTGGTGAGGAAACATAAAATAATTTTGGAACTTATGGAATAACCTATATATTTGAGGAAGAATTTTGTAGGAATACATGAATATGTGGATCAATCTTTTATTTCATTTAAAGGTACTTGTCAATGATAATAGGGATAGAAGGCATCTCAGGCTGTTACTCAGTGATAAGGTCAACCACAATCTTAAACTTAGGATCATTATTAATCTCAAGCCTCAAGTTTATGTTCGATCGATTGCTGATAAGTGATTAAAATCATCAAGCTCATTTATAGAAACGTGATGATCAGGATGCCATTCCTCAAAGATCCAATCAATACAAGAATCAAGTAGATCTTTAACAAACATTTGACCTAGGTGGAATTGACATGTGTGCTTGAAGTTCTGGAATTGACATAATATTTTTTTAAATTTTAGTTTGAGAAATTAGTTTCTGATATAATCCATCATCATAATGAGATAGTTTTGAATTGGAGATGAATAGAACAATCATATATACGGTTATCATATGATCTGTATTGATTTTGATATTCATATTTCTTTATAGAAGAGATTTTTTTAATGAGCATTTGCATCAAAATTAGTATATCTTTAAGATTATTTATAATATCTATTAGATTAGTTATGATCAAAATATGCAGCTTGTCTTTATCTATTAGTTAAGAGCTTTGGCTATCAACTAAGAGGTCTTGAGTTCAAAGCTTGCGTATGTGATGTGTGTATCAGTTTACCTTAATTGGCTCTAAAATCCCCCCCCCCCCCCCCAAAAAAAAAAAACCCCCTCCAAAAAAAAAAAAGTTTATGAGCAAAATGATTGAGATAGTTATCGTTATAAATTGCTTACTGTAATCTTGAGATTCACAATATTCGTTATAATATGATTTATTTTAATTTAACTCATTGTGGTTGTCATATTGATAAGGATAAAAGAGCTATGACCATGTGTAATTGTACGAGAAACTTAAGTCATTTGTGTGATAATTGTTTGATCCATTACTTTCTTCATTTATTATCTTTTTGTAATAATTTTTCCATTCATCATAGGACATGGCTTTCTTGATGTCACTTTATGTAGAATATGATTTTTGATATTAATCCATAAAATGGCTATAATAATCAACACATAATTTTTCTTAGTATTTGTAAAATCATTTTGACTATCAATGGCATATTCTTTTGTTTTTGAAATATTAATAAGTTAATTATAAAATCATTTTGAAGCTAATATATTGGTACCTCGAATTAGAGAGATGATTGCTAAGGTGAAAGGGGTAGTGTCGGGTAGGTTGAGGGTGGAGTTTGGTTTAGGTATTAGGGCTAGGGTTAGAGCTAGATTGGCGGTAATGTTTTAAATTTTTTAACTTTATGTTACAATTTTTAAAATTTGATATAAGAGGTGTAGGGCATGTAAGGTTATTGAAAGGGGAGATATACCTTGGGTTTAATGCAAGTACTTTTGAAAAAAATCTCTTTGATACTAATCGATATAAGAGGTTTCACTCTTAATACCTATGATGCACCGACCCTTCTCCTCAAAGAAGCATGTAGTGTTCGATACTTATCCGACACGACACGCGTCCGAACACCTCCGACACATATTGAACACGCTGAAACGTGTTTGATTAAAAAATATTAAATACAAATTTGACACGCGTGTCCGACATGCGTGTCTTAAATATATTTTGATTTTTTTTAAATATAATTTTTTGTATTTAAAAATTTTATTTATTTCAAATATAAAAATTAAATTTCTTATTTTCTATCCACAACACCAAATTGATTGCCCCACTCAATACCCCATTCATCAAATACTCTCATTTTCATTTCATATGGCGGGTTCGACTTTGGTCACACAAGAATGCCCGATGTTATCTCAACATTGACATCTGACGTCGTTAATATATCGACATTTCAAAATCATCTCAACATCAAAGTCTGACATTGTTTTGACATTGATGCTCGACTCTGGCAATTTCTACACCTATAACTTGACAACTCATCTTTGTTCGACGTTGTCTTAACATCGACCACCAACGCCCTCTCAACATCGACAACAAACGTCCGATACTTACTGCAAAACATTGATGCTCGACTCTCGACATCAATATTGTTTCCTCTCTCAATGTCTGATACATGACATCGATAGTCGACTCTTTATGTCTTAATATTAATAATTTTAAGCACAAATTCTAGTTAAATGACTTGTTATTTCTAAGTTATTTTTAATATTATACTTATTTAATTTTTATACACTATTTTTAAAATATAAAAATTATAATACCGTGTTCAACCGATGGTCGTGTCCTATATTTTCAATAATTGACATTTCTCATGTCCGGGTCTATGCATCATAGCTTAATACCAAATTGATAAAGAACTTGGTGGATCTTCATCTTGCTCCACCCCTCTGTTTTTCTTGAATTTGCCTTTGAATTGCTAGATTCTTCCTTGAGTCATCCATTTAAACTATAGATTTCTTTAGGCTTTTAGAGTGAGAATTTTAAAGTAACTAAGAGGAATTTTGGCTACTAGAAGAACCCAATAGTTAGTATGTGGCTTGGAAGAGATTTTGTGAGATGGGTTTCTTGGGAATTGGGAAATGTAACTAGGAATCTTATGATTTGTGATTCTTAAAAGGAAAGAGAATATAAGGGAGATAGGAGAGAGAAGAGAGAATAAAGGAGAATAGCGTGAGTCTTGACTGAAATTTCAATTCATAATTGGATAATTAAATTACAAGTATTAAAATTCTTTTTTATGTATATAGTTACATGATAAAATTAAAAATTAAAAAATCAATTAAGATAAGTCTTAAAATTTTATCATCTAATTTAAAAAGAGGATGACCCTAAAAGTAATTACATTAAATGAAATAAAACTAGTAGAAATAGTCCAAAAAATACTATAATAAAACAAAAAATGCAAAAAACATTTCTTAAATATTCATGATGCATTTTTTTTTTAAATATTCATGATGCATGTCTTGTACTACATCACCTCCGTAGGCCCTGTATTGGCGTGTGCTTCAAGCACTTCATATGCCTTAGTTTTTTTATAATGCTTCACTAGTATCAATTTCTGAACCTTCGCTAGCGCAAGGTTCCTACTGCAGTGTGCAATTTTGTCTATTTCCAATAAATACCACGCCACACTCAATTTTCCACCATTTTTTTTTCAATTTTCCACCATCTTTATATTTAATTGACTTGAAAAGGTTATTTTTCAATTTAGTAATTTATAGCTGTTAAATTTGTTAGAACCTAACTAACTGATGTTCCAGCTTATTAATTTTCCTTGGATTTTCAGTCTTTTATTAGAATTCTTTTTATCATGCAGGAATGTTTCCATGCCTGTGTTGCAGGCTGTGGTTTTAAGGTCAGTACTTTTTGGAGCATATCAAATGTTGTTTATCAAGCTATGTTCATTTTAATTGCTGAAATTTCTGTTATGTTATTTCAATTCTATGAAGTTGTATAACTTTCTGCTAATTAATCAAGCTATAAAAAAGAAGAAGTTTGTGTCTTCGAGATTGTCATTTAAGTGTTCTTGTTGTTCTGTATAATGATTCATTATAGTTTAAACAATTCCACCACCTTATTTAATTTGTATAAAAATGTGACTAGTGATTGGCTATATGATTTACGCTATTTAGTTGCATGTAGCTTATTATTGAAACTTTATATGGACAATTTCTCTGATAATTATGTCTTGTTGATGAATACTATAGCTCCAATATGAAATTGATGATGGACACTTGATTGTATTCTCATTCTTTATTTTTCTTCCTTGTTTTCTTAAGTGAACTTTTGAATTGCTGATCTTTTGCTTGAATTCATTTTTAGTGGAGAGAATGATGAATTAGGCTTGTAGAGAGAGAAATTAGGAGAAATTTGACTACTAGTTGGGAATTAAGGTCAGCTTTTTGGACCTATGACTTGCTTGTTTTGGCGTTTGAGAGAAATCATGAGAGGAATTTACCGGAGATGGAGTGGAGATAGGGGAGAGAAGGAATAGGAATGACTTTGAATTTTTATGGTAGGATATTGAAAATTATGTGCATTGAAATACTTATTTATAGAAATTTGGTTACATGATTAAATTACATTACTTTTAAAATTTAGATCTGGATCAATTTAATGAAATATCAAACAAGATAAATCTTAAAATAATTATAAAGAAAAGGATATTTTCTTAATTGATGTCATGAAAATCAAATGAATAAAAATGAAATAAAAAATGCTACAAATAGTCTAAAAATACTAAAAATCTAGAAAATAGTAGAATAATCTAAAATATTCTTGATGCATGTCATGCACTGCATCTCTCATACTCATACTCAACCACAATTGTATCATAGAAAAAAGTCCTCGTATAAATGTTTTTAATTGCCAAAGAATATAAAAGTATCTTGCTAGGAAACAATTGTAGTAAACAAGAGTTCCCCTGCTGAATTCGAATTTCAACCCTTCCCAAAAACAGATTTGAGAAGGATTTAGACGAAATAATTAGAAATAAGCCTTTTAAATTGATAATACTAGAAGAAAAAAAACAAGATACAGTTGGATCTTTTATTGGAGAGGAAGATCTGGCTCTTGCAATTCTCTAGACTCCGCTGGAGCCCAAACGAGAACAAAGACCTCCAATTTCAGCCAAAAATCAGAGATGCCAAAAACAAACCCTAGAAGAAAATCCCTCTTAAACAACATTAATTCCCCCTAATTCCCAAACAACCCTCTCTATTTGAAATTTACCTCCTAATTCCCACCCTTAATTGGGCTTGTGGACCCCACCCTCAAGGGGGCGGCAATGTTGGGCGGAACCACCCTTATTTCGCCTCCTGTAGATCATGACCAGTTCTGGTTGAACCGGCTAGACTGGTCTAGTGACCAGTCCAACATTACTCCCGTCCCAAAGAGTCACCTTCTTCTCAAGGTGGAAGGAAGGAAACTGATGCTTTACACTCTCATATGCTCATATGTGGCATTTTAGTCAGGTAGGTTCTTCCACTTAATCAACACTTGGAGTTTCCCTCTCCCTGGCGTACCCCCCTAAGCTCCAGTGATTCCAAAATCACCTCTAGATCCTCTGTTAGTGTCCCCGGTAAGTTTGAACTAGCTACATTATTACCAACATCTCTCCTTAACTGTGATACATAAAAAACAAGGTGTATGGAAGTGGTTGAGGGTAACTTCAAGCGATAAGACACTGCTTCAATCCTCTCCAATATTTCATAAAAGGCCAAACTACCTTGGGACTAGCTTCTCATTCCATTTGTTGACTACTGTCCTCTATCTGTAGGGCTGTAACTTTAAGAACACCCGATCTCCAATGGCAGACTGCATGTCCTTCCTGTGTCCGTCCACCTATTTCTTCATAATTTGTTGGGCCCTCAGCAGGTGTCGTTTTAACTCATCCAATACCTTATCCCTTTCTTCCGAGTACTGCTCTACTGAAGAGACTAGTGTGCGACTCTACCCAAAATGCACCAAATGTGGAGGGTCCCTTCCGTGCAACACTTGGAAAGGAGTCATCTATGAAGCCAGTGGTACAAAGTGTTGTACTAGTATTCTACCCATGCCAACAACTTGGCCCATAACCTCAGTGTTTCTACAGCAAAACATCATAAGTATGTCTCCAAGCTCCAGTTCACCACTTTGGTCTGCCTGGCTGTCTATCTGAGGATGATAGGCAATACTTCTCTTAAGCACTATCCTCTGTAACCTGAACAGCTCCCTCAAAAAATGACTGAGGAACACCTTATCTCTGTCAGATACTATTGATTATGGTATCCCATATAGTCTGACCACCTCTCAGATGAATGCAATCACCACTGTCACAGTCGTGTAAGGATGTCGTAAGAGGATGAAGTGAGCGTACTTGCTCAATCTGTCAAGTACTACTAGAATCATTGTAAACCCTTCAGATTGGGTTAACCTATCAATTAAGTCCACGGTGACCTCCTCCCACATCCCGAGCCATAGGGTTAGGAGTTGAAGTAATCCCCCAGGAACCATGGCCATGTACTTGTTCTACTGGCACACCTCACATCTAGCCACATTTTTTCTACATACTTGTGCATTCCTTTCCGATATAGCTCCACTGTCAGTCTCTTATAAGTCTTCTGAACCTCAAAGTGACCCCCAACCACGCTCCCATGGAACTTCTGCAGTAGCTGTGAGATATGAATTAAGGTCCGAGGCATCACAAACCTCCCTGAGACTGGAGTCTCTCCCCCTCTTGAGAATAGCAAGGGTGATTGTTCTCATCCCTCAGAAGTTAAGCTCTAATTCTACCCAACTCCTCATCCTGCATGCTCTCCTCTTTGATTGCCCCCCATCCAACATCAGTGGTATTGGCATAGCTAACTCATGAAGCTCCCTCATGCATCTAGACAAGCATCTGCCGCTATGTTCTCCAATTCGGACCTATAATGAATCTCAAAATTATAGCTTAAAAGCTTTGACGACCACCTCCTATACTCGGTCACCATCCTCTGCTTAAACAAGAAATTCAAGCTCCTCTGGTTCGTCCTGACGATGAAATGCCTATCCAACAAGTATGGTCGCTACTTATGAATGGCTAACATAATGCCCATCAACTCCCCCTCATAGATGGACTTCAAACTAGTTCTGGTTGTTAACACTTGGCTAAAGTAAGCTATGGGTATGTGATTTTGCATTAGCATGGCCCCCAATCCATATCTTGATGCATTTATCTCATCCAGAAAAATCAGACTGAAATCTGATAGGGCTGAAATTGGTACCGTGATCATGGATTTTTTCAATCTCTCAAAGGCCTGGGTAGCTGCCTCTCCCCACAAGAAGCTATCATTCATCAGTTGCTCTGTTAACAACCAAGCTATGGTGTTTTGTCCCTGACAAATCTTATGTAGTATCCAGTTAAGCCCTAGAAGCCCCTCTGCTCTCTCAAATTCTTGGGTAGAGGCCACTTCTGCATTGCCTCAATCTTGGTTTCATCCACCGCCACCCCTTCCTGAGATACCATATGCCCCAAGTATTCTACACTGGCTTGCTCAAAACAAGACTTCTTCAGATTGTCCCTCAACTGATGTTCTTGTAATGCTTCTAGGACCACTTTCAAGTACTCCAAATGCTCCTCCATTGGATTGTTGTACACCAATATGTCACAAAGAAAACAAGGATGAACTTTTAGAGATATGGTTTTAATACCATGTTCATAAGGGACTGGAAGGTAGCAGGGGCGTAAGTGAGGCCAAATGACATCACTAAGAACTCATAGTATTCCTCATACGTCCTGAACATAGTTCTCAAGACATCCTCCTCTCTCATCAATATATGATGGTACCCCACCTCTAATCCATCTTTGAGAACACTATTGCTCCACATAGCTCATCTATCAATAAAATGAAAAACTTATATGACAGTCTCCTAATTCAGGGTCCAATAGTCTACAACTCCCATTCTTCTTTTTGACCAGTAAGATTGGGTATGAGAAGAAGCTCACACTCGGTCGGATGATCCCAGCCTCAAACATTTCTTGGATCAACTTTTTAATCTCATTCTTCTGAATCTAAGGGTGGCGATATGGCCTGACAATGATTGGTGGCACTCCTCTCAAGATAATGGCATGCTCCCGCTACCTCGGTAGTAGCAATCCTTGAAGTGGTTGAAAAATCTCACTAAACTGCTATATAAGCGGCTGCATTGATAGAAAAATGTATTCCTCTTCCTCCAATCTTCCCCCCTCTAAGCTCTACAGCTCCACAAGAAATCCATCTCTCACCTCATGTAAGGTCCTCACCATGATTTTGAGCGACATCATTGCTCTGGATAACCCTGCATCACCTTCGATCACCATTCTCCTTCACTCCACTACCAATTGCATTATCAAAGCTCCCCAATTCATCTTGGTATCTCCCAAGGTTTGTAGCCACTTCATTCTCAAGATAATATCAGTGTTTCTCAATTATAAGGGAAGGAAATCATCCCTCACCTGGATCCCTTGTATGGTCAGAATCACTCATCTACATACTCCTCTACCAGTCTCCACCTTCCCAGTGCCTATCGTCACCTTATAACTCCCTGTGTCCACCAACTTCACCCCCAATTGGTCAGCGACCTGGTTGAAGTGAAATTGTGAGTAACCCTATTGTCTATCAACATCACCACCTTCCTATCTACCATATCTTATTTCACTTTCATGGTCTGATTTGAAGTGAATCTCTCCACTGAATTTAAGGAGGCCTCTGTCATGTCAAGATGCAGCTCCTCATCTACCACCGCCTCGTTCCCAGCTCCCTCAGCTTGCTCGTCATTAAAGACAGTGAGAACCTGAAGAGTTCGGTCATTACACGTGCACCCCGGGGTGTACCCCTCATCACATCTAAAATATAG